AAAAATAAATAAGACTGGTATCTAAAGCAGTCTGACAGAGGTCACTTCCAGGAACAGAGAGTATGGTAAGAATTTTGGAACTGAAGCAGGACTGATATATGGAGTTTATGCTGAATACCCCATGCCTGTTCTCTGAGGAAGGGGGGGAAGGGCATGTTTTTATCTCCTCCATTTAGTTTATAACCGAATAGTGAATTTGAACTTAAAACTAATCTTTAATCGAGCTGTAAAAGGCAAGACACTGTGGTAGGATTTCTGAACTCAGTTTTTACTGAAGCTACTTCTACTTCATCGATGCATTTTCTCCCTCTTTCTGGGTCAGATCCGACCTGAGAATCTGAGGGCTGGTCATCTTTAAAACTTGAGCGTGAGACTCCTACCTTTTCATGCCACCTGCTCCCTATGCTCTGTGGAGATTCTGCACACCCTCACTCTACCTGGGGGGCATGTTTGTGAGGGTTCCAGGAAGACCTCTCCTAGCCAGCGTGCCTTCCCCGTCCTTATGCAGCGGCTGGAGTGCTGGGGCACTTCCATTCCTGATAAGGCCTGGGTAGCACTAGGGCACCTCTGTTCCTGCTGTTCCAGGGTGATATTACATCACTGCTCATTCTGGCAGCTCTAACCTCGTCTCTTAGAGCTCAGAGTTCCCCCTCTAACAGCCTAGATAATTATGACCAGCACTTTGAAAGAACATAATCTGTATAGGCACCCAACTCATTGTGTACAACATTTACCTCTTGTGAATACGTGCAAATTACAGCTATAAACTTACCAGTATACAATCAACAAATACAAACCCGAATTCTTTTTTAACCCCTTTAATGCAAATTTTTTTATCTTAGCAATACACATGATCTGGCTAAGATTTACCGGAAGAGAAGGCCTGCTTATGAGCTATCCCCTACAGCAACCTGTACAGTGCCTGGCTTGGGCCTAGAGCATGGCAAACTCTTAGCAAATGTTTTACTGAATAAATGATTAAACCACTAACTAAAGAAAGTAATTAGTGGTCAAATGTAACACTGGTGTTATATCAAATTATAATTGTTGAAGGGTTCATAAGAAAAATTCGAGATGTGCACAGTCTACTGTATAAACAAAGACTTCATGGTAGCCTCTCTTCTAAATGGAGTTTTTCTTAATATCAGAATAAATTTAAGCTAGTTATACTAACTGTGCTTTTTAGTGAAAAAGTGTTTGAGATAAAATAATTTCTACTTTTAAGTGTTTTCCAAACCGGTGATCTCTGATTCTTAAGAAGCCTTTCTCCTCCACATTCCCCTGGGGCAGAGACAGAGCCCGAGGATTATTTTATCCAGTGGCAAGGGCACAGAGCTAAGAGCTGGGTGCTAGTCCCGGCCCTCATGAACAGAGGACAAGTCCAAGGACACCTATTCTATCTCACAGCACGGAAAACTGTAAGGTAGTAGAAGAAACACTACAGCATAAGCAGAGTTTGCAGACTTACGGAGTCTGAAGATTGAGGTCAAATCTTACTGAACTTTATGTTGGTCAGTTTTCTAAACCTTAGCTTCATCATGTGTGAAACTGTTATAAAACAACATAATGCTGTATGAAAGGTTATGTGAAGTTGTTGTGAAATAATTACAGGCAAAGAGACTTTGTAAAATGTAAAGCATTATGCTGCTTACTGTGATATCTGATAAATTTAAGAAGTTACAATGTAATTCAACAGGCATTCATCTCAGTCTCATGTGCAAGGCACTGCGCTAAGTGGTGGGAAAATACTACATAAATATAAAACTCTGGTCTGTAAGTAACCAAGTGGCAGAATTCCAAATGGTGAAACAGGGATACATTTACCAAATCAGAGTCCTGGTGCACCTGAGATTTTTCACTTGAAACATTTGGAAAGAAAAAACCCCCAACATGAATTCTATCATACTGTTACCACTAATAGCAGCTGACATGTATTTCACTTCAATGCCATTGGTCTGCCAAGTTTTAGAAATTTGGCAACAGTGTAATGGGGGGATGGCACAGAAGAAAGGAGAGAGAGAGATCTTCAGTCCGTCTGTCTCTCCTTTGGTTGCAACACACAACTAACTGAACTTGAATTGAGCCACCTGCCCTTACACGGAAGATTGGTTCTTCCTTAGAGAGGAGCACACATTGTGGGAAAAGGGTAGAAGACACATTTTTCCTGCTCAAGCAACTACCTAATCAAAAGTGAAAGCCCTTTTCATTGAAAAGTGACTGTTGTAGAAAAGTTTATGAACAGATTTCTTAAAACAGGAGAAAAATTACATGTATGTCCTTTTAACAGTAGGTAGTTTAGGGCTCTTAAAAATAACTTTATAAATACATATTATAATAATACAGATAAGCAAGGGGGTAAATTTCAAGCCATGGTACCAGTGTATACACTGAAACTCTTAACTAAGCCATCTGAGCGACAGTTAGGTGAGCAAACCACATCTCGGAGCTCTAACGCTGTGCTTTCAAATGCAAAGCAGCTCACAGCAAGCTGGCTCTTGTCCACGCATTCTGTAGGAAGGCCAGGAGACTCTGCTTCTGCCCCCGCCTCTGCGTGCGAGGCGCAGCCGAAAGGACCGGAGACACAGCTGGGCTGAACTCACAGTCAAGGTTGAACTTCCTAGAGAAATCACTGAAGCAGAAGCCATGTCAGTCTCCTGAAGATTTCAGATCTTCAGAAATGTCACGGAAAGTCCTATAAGAAAAAATAAAATTCGTTTTCTTTTGGAAATGAGGAGGTGGGAGGAATGAAATCACAGAGATATCAAAAAAAGAAAGGAAAAACAGCACCTAACCAGTAATTAAATGCCATAAATAATAACTTATTTTTACCATTTGAGAGCCTTGATGAGGTTATATAGTTGTTTTTCTTAATATTATCATGAGTTCGCATTTTGAGTATTATTTCAAAGTGTGCTAGTAACAAGAACGCCAGAGGTTTTTTTTTGCTGAGTCCATTATCTCCCATCCAAAAAACTATTTCCCTTGAAATTAACAACCATGTGACTATGTTCTAGCCAATGAGATATAACTGGAAGAGCAGTGTGTGGAAGAGCAGTGTGACTTCTCAGCAGTGTCCTTAAAAGAGAAGGGTGATCTTCCCTTCCCCCTTCACGCTGGCTGCAAAGTGTACACAAGGATATTAGAGAAAAACACTAGAAGATCAAAGATCAAAAGCCAAGTGAATACGTTTTATTACAAAAGAGGAAACCTGACCTAGCAGAGCCCAAGCTCTGAGGGATATGGTTCAGGGCAGGAGAAATGAGGTTAGGTCTTTTCACCAAATTGCCTGGTACTGAACTGTCTGACCCACATAGGCAAGCTAAGTGCATATCACTAACTGCAGGTAACATCTAGGCTGGATAGAGGTGGTGTGCTGCACCTATGAGGCGCCTGCCGCAGGTCTGTAGTAGCTAGTTTGCCTTTGCTACATAATTTATATGCCCAAGCTAGGATTATGTCACCCAGTCAGGCCTGCATCTGTGCTGGCAGCCAACTGCCAAGGTCAGAGTTTATCAATGAACATGAGCCCAAGCACCCATCTTAGAGGACAAGACCTCACACCAAGGCTAGCAGAACAGCCAGGAGGAGGCTCGGCTGGATGTTGTGGAACAGTTACACCAGCCCTGGACTGCCTGCTCTGGACTGCTTTCACCCGAGAGAGAGGAGAGAGAAATCAACTTCTAGCTTATTTAAGTCATTTGAGTTCTACTGACAGTGGTTTTTTGAGTTTGTTTGTTTTGGGTTACATGAAGCTAAATCTATCTTAAAGGGTACAAGTATGAAGCAGAAATTCATTGCCATCCTTTTAGCTAGAAGTTACCTTGCTCCTTTACAGCAGTATCACCAATTAGGACCACAGAAAAACATCTCCGATCAAAAGCTAGTTTTCAAAACAATTTTAAAGTCTTCAAGCTATACTTTATTAATTGTAGCCACATCACTACACCACGTTGTTCCTTCTTACATTATTTATCAAATAAAGCCCATTTTATTTTCATACCTTATAATTAAAAAGATTAACTTTTTCATTAGAAATAGACCTAAAATAGAATACAAGAAAAGTGTTACAAAACTTCAGGGAATCACTCATAGTTATGGAAACAAAAGATAACAAAAAGTTGTCATTAGGTACAAATTCCTTAAAAATTGGCAAAGCAAATAATTTTGAACTTCAGGTGCAATTCACATCCATGCCACCTCTTACATTTTTTGTTTTCCCAATGTTCAGTTCATATATTTAGGAGGGTGAGCTAGAGAGGGCAGAGGTCAATTAAAGACTGACCCTTTGGTGCAATGCCGGGAGTACCTCAAAATCAAGGGGGGCACAGGTAGAATGGTACAGTAAAGAGATTACATCAGGGATGCTCAATTGTCTCAAGGCTCTTTCAGTGGGTGGTGCCCTAAGCCTCTGAACTAGCATGCCTCTAACCAGCACAGCCCTGTGTCCAAAGGAATAGCTTTGAGGGATGGGTGAGCTTCCTGGCTCGGGCTCTGGCGGTTTTGAAAGGGTTTATGTGTGACGTGGCCAAAACCACCATATTGAATATTTCCTGATGGGCCTAGGAATCGAAATGAATTGTTTCCTTAAATAACTTTAAACTCTGAGAAAAATACCCCCAAACTAAGATTTATATATATACACACTAGAGGCCTTCTTTCCCCAGGCTGCCGGCACCGGCTTCCCTCCGGCACCCAGGACCCGGGCTTCCCTTGCTTATTATGCTTTTATTATTATAGATGCTTTATTCATATTACTATCTATCAAACTGTCTATTAATCAAATCAGGGTTTCTCAATAGCATCATTATTGACATTGTTGTGCATTATAAGATGTTTAGCCACATTCCTGCCTTTACCTACTAGTTGTGATAATCGAAATGTCTCTAGACATTGCCCAATGTCCCTTAAGGGGAGCAAAATTACCCCTTCCACAACCATTGCTCTAGATAGCTATTTATTTATACACCTGCTTTTCATAGTGCCACCAAAATTAGTGTTTTAACACCTGTAGAGAGGCTAAGATGACTACCAATGTCTCAGATGACAATCCCAGGCATTACTCAATTCTGGGAACCCCTGGAAAGGCTTTACAACCAATAATCAAAAACTGACCAATACTACAAAGCATTTCCAACACACAACAAATTTCTAAATTCATCCTCTGACATCTTTTCAAATTTCTAAGTTACCTGCAAGTCTGAATCTCTAATGAGACAATGCCTCTAGACCAGCGGTTCTCAACCTGTGGGTCGCGACCCCTTTGGAGGTCGAATGATCCTTTCACAGGGGTCGCCTAAGACCATCGGAAAACACATATATAATTACATATTGTTTTTGTGATTAATCACTATGCTTTAATTATGTTCAATTTGTAACAATGAAATTGGAGGTCACCACATGAGGAACTGTATTAAAGGGTCGCGACATTAGGAAGGTTGAGAACCACTTCTCTAGACTATGAATGAAAAGTCCTGCCTCAGGCAAAGAGGCATGAAATAAGGTTAAGACTGTGGTTGGCCTGGTGACTGCCTTCTGTTGACAAGTAAGCTTAGCTTTCATGTTGAAATTCATACCTACTGTTCAATGCTCCCTCCAGGCCAAGGAAGCCTCCAAATGCACTCAGAAGAAAGGAAATAAAATTAAGCAAGCTGAGAAAACAGTTACTGAGAGTTTCCTTCTCTACACTGTATCTTCTTTAGATGTTTAGGTTGGTGAAGGTGGTGTGTGTGTGTAAAACCTTACAGACATAACATTGATATTAAACCAACTTCCAATTTTCTCCTGGAAAACAAACCACATAACCTAGAGATGCAGAAATAATTTCTTTAAAAAAATTTTAATTGAATTTATTTAAACTAAAATTACAAAACAAAATCAGTCCACTCGCCCTGCATCTGTCCCACCCCCCGCAACTACCAATCTGTTCTCTGTATCTATAAGTTTGGTTTATTTATTTTTTAAGAGGACTTATTTTTTAATCCTCACCTTAGGACATGCTTATTAGCGGAAGGGGGGAGGCGGAGAAAAAGGGAGAGAGAAGGAAAGAGAGGGAGAGAGAAAGAGAGAGAGAGAGAAATCGGTATCTATCGGCTGCCTTCCATATATGCCCCAACTGGTGATCAAACTAACAACCCAGGTATGTGCCCTGATAGGGAATCAAATCGGCAACCCTTCGGTGCACAGGACAACGCTCAACCAACTGAGCCACTCCAGTCGGGTGATTTCTTTCTTTTTTTAGATCCTGCATGTAAGTGAAATCATAAGGGATTTGTCTTTCTCTGGTTTCTTTCTGGCCTCATCAAGAGGCACAGAGCTAAGTAATTGCGAGGGCTCATAAAACTGCAACTCTCTAGATTAGGAAGAAAAAAAGAAATAAAGACTTCATTGACAGTATTTCTAAAAATGGTGAATGTCTTATCTAAACTACCAAATTACAGTCTTCTTTCCCGAGCTATAAGGATGATTATGCTCCTCAGAACCAGGTGGCGGAACAAGCAAAATGCAGGATGAGCTGGGGACAGAGGACAGCTGTGAGCATTTAGAGCCCCTTTAAGGGCAACGGGCACTGTGCAGTGTGGTTTCCCAGTCACAAGCCTTTGCTCCTTGGAAAATGTTTGGGGATCTGCTTCCCTTTAAAGTTTCAATGCGATTTTTATGAAGATTCCGTTTTATGTAAACCTTTAAATCTCTTCTGATTTAACAGCTCAAGAGCTGTTGACTCTTGGCCTCCCAGAGATACGGAATAAACTTTGAACATTTGAAAATAAAAAAAACAATGAAAAGAATTAAGTGACTAATTTAACTTCCATTGGCTGGCCCTAGCTGATTGTGTATTTCCTGAACCCTCCCCAGCACATAGGTACAAAACCTGTGATCACTATCATCTCATCACTATTATACACATCCCTTCTCTTCCAACAGATAAGGAATAAACTTCTAAGGCTGAGGTTTACTATGTTCCGTCTGTCTTTTTCAATCTCAAGGTTATATTGCAATATCCTTTTTATCAAGTCTTCTCTTGGTTTCCCCAACCTATTAACTCACCCAATTTTCACCGAGCACTTTCCATGTGCCAAACACCATGCTAGCAATAGTAAAACGGTAGCAAAGAAGTCAGACCCAGCTCCTGCTTTCAGAAACCTTACCAACTAGCGAGAAAGACAACTAATGACGCACACATTTATACCCTGTGTATCAAGTTCCAATAGGACAAGTACAACATGCTATGGGGACACACAGCAGGGGCATCTTACCTAGTCTAGTGAGTGCCAGCAATGCTTTTCATTAAAAGGTCACTTTAAGCCGAAACCGGTTTGGCTCAGTGGATAGAGCGTCGGCCTGCGGACTGAAGGGTCCCAGGTTCGATTCCGGTCAAGGGCATGTACCTTGGTTGCGGGCACATCCCCGGTGGGGAGTGTGCAGGAGGAAATAAAACACAGACTGTATCTCATCTTGATTGATGAATAACTGAGTCTCAAGGAAATATTCACTAGAGGTGGTGATTGAGGTACGTTCGCTGAGGTCGACCCCTTCCAACGCTCCCATCCATACTCATCTTGTAGCCAGTCTCACTCAACTCGTGCATGAATCGCGCACCTCCCTGCGCTGCGCATCCCGCGGCCTGCCTGCACCCAGTCTCCCGTCATCTGACCGACCGACACCCCCACTTCTTCTAACGCCACTTCTTCAAAATAGACTCGCCCAGGCCGAAAACCGACTTCTGCACATGGGCCACAAAGTTTCAATCGCACTGTACGTGCACGCCTACATTTTGTGGAAGAGCCACACTCAAGGGGCCAAAGAGCCGCATGTGGCTCGCAAGCCGCGGTTTGCTGACCACTGGTATAGAGTAGACCATAATACTGGATTTGTCTAGAAAGGGGGTGGTATTCTTTACAGAGGGAAAAACAAGTGCATAGATGACACTGACTTCAGGAAACTAAAACAAGTTCAAGATGGCTAGAAAATAAAACGTAAGGCGGGCAGCAGAGCGAGGAGTCTGCAGAGGTAGACAGAAAGAAGCTATGAAAAGTTTCTATTTTATCTTGAAGGCCATGTAAAGCCACTGTGAGAATTTTCAGTATAGAGGAGCATAACGTTTATGCTTCAGGAAAACCAGAGAGGCTTTGTGGGGGTGCAAAAATAATTTTCCTCATGTTAGCATAGGCAGCTAGATATTAATCAAGAAAAGGAGCAAAGGGAATCGGACATTATTGGGCATCATGAACTGAGGAGCTGAGTGAGATAATAAGCCTGCTTCACCAGGAAACTGCGGCATTCATAGGCTCCCCAGGGAACCTCTGCATCCTACACCCTGGGGACCTAATCCCTACAGTTGCCAGGGAAGGGGGAGGAATAAAAAGAGCAGGAGAAATTCCTCTGCTGGGTACAAGCGCAGAAGCCAGGTGGCACGGGGGAGGTGCTTCCACTCTGAGGCATGCACAGTAGGAACTAAGATGGTGATCACAAAGCCGCAGAGCCTGGCCTGGGAAAACGATTGGACTGGATGAGGGACACAGCACCCCAGAGGATCTAGGAGATGGATTGCTTAGGGGGAGGGCCCAGTGCCAGCCCAAGAAAGACTGAGAAGTGGATTGGTTATTTTGAAAGGGTGCCTGGTCCTTCCCAAGCCCGAGATAATATAATCAGCCTAACAAGGGCATGTGGGATCTCTCTCTCTCTCTCTCTCTCTCTCTCTCTCACCCCCGCCCCCAACATACACTCGCCCTATTTGTGTGTTCTCTCTCCATAGCAGCTGTGCAGCCCTAACAGCCACCTGTGGCCCCACAGCCACTGGACTCCAAGCACCAGCCAGGGCACAGCTGGGAACAGAAGCTAACCTAGGAGGATGGGGACGGGGACTGAACTGGACAGAACAAATAGGACAGAGGAAGCACTTCCTTCCGGATGCTGGCCTTTGCTCTGAGCCTGATGAAGACAAGGCTGGCCTTCTTTCACAACGATTTTGCTTCTACGATAAATCCTATCACTACACCTGTCCCTCCCATATGTGGGCACCCGGAATGCTTTCCTTGTGAGTCCATGAGAGGACCCCATTTCCACTGGCAACACTCCCGCCTCTAAATTCCTCTAGCTGCACTAACAATCAAATTAACATAAGAAAGATCAACAGGAAACATGTCTACAATTTATTACAGGTGTACACTTGGGGTGTCATAAGATATGAGACCCAAAGATACATTGGACAAAGATACCCGAGGATTATATGCCACTTTGGACAAAGGAGAAGGGAGGCAGGGGTTTGGGATTTCAAAGGAAACACAGGCAATTCATAGGCAGCTGAGAGGGGGCAAACCCCTTGTAAACCAATTCCTGCGGGGCCACCCGGAGACAATGGGGCACAGACGGAAACTCAACACACAGGCTTTGCTGGACTGCTATCTGTCTGCCACGTTTAGTTTATAATAAGATGCTAAGGTGATGCTCCTTTCCTTTAAGCAAGTTTTTTTTTTAATCCAAATTCCTTTAGATAGGTAAGGAGGGAAAGTCAAAAGTTCTTTCTGAGTCTTCCGTTTCTTAATAACCAGCTTAAAATCAATATCCCAAAAGGTATATTTTGGGTGGTAAAACTTGGTCTCTCTTAGCCACACTATGGAAAGCAGACTGGAGGGAGCCAGACTAGAGGGGCAGGGGCCAGAGAAAAGACCCCTGAGGGTCACCCCAGCACTGGGTCACCCCACAGGGAACACAGAGGGGTGAACAGATTCAAGAAATGTGCCAGCAACAGAGTCAAAGGAGAGGAGGCAACAGTCAGCAGAGGGTGAGTCCAGTAGCTCCCTAGTAACCCGGTTTCTCTCTTTCCCCCTCATTATACCAAAGTAGGATGATGGCAAGTACACCCCAACTGAAATTCTGAGGTTTAATGTCAAGGTCTGTCAGAGTGGTATTGTTTTTGGAGAACATCTTTGTATCTCATTTTGCAGAAACAGGAAAAAAAAATAACTCTTCAAAACAGCAAGGGGTTCGTAATAACTCTTTCCTAGAGAAAGATAAACCTGAGCTCCTGAAGGACCACATCCAACTGTCGCCTTTGGAGGTATCAAGGTGCGACAGAGGGCAATGGAAAACGATGCCGAGAACGGCATCCCTGGAAGATTCCTGGGACAGTCCTGCTTCCGCCGTACAGGTTTTTCTGAGCTTTGACATTCAGAGATTGCTGCTCAGCCTTTGGTAGGAGTGAAATATGTACATCAAATCAAGTCTGATTATCCTGTCCAAATATCAAGAAAGTACTCCAAGCCATATGATTGCAGGAGCGTTTTGTCCTTTCAAACAGCCCCAGTGTTAACAGAGAAGAGAAAGAGGTTCTGATTACTGACTGAATCAGCCCAAAGTTGTGGGAAGCCCAATGCTTCTCGACATTCGCCACCAGCACATACTGCATTCACCACTGCGGGCAGGGAGTCCTCCCTCCTATATCTCTCCTCAGGTGGACAGTTGATCATCTGTCTGAAGACATATGGTAATACATAGAAAGTCTTGCAAATGGGTCTTTTCAGCCACTGGTGCCTGCACCTGCAGCTAGAAGGCAAGTCTGCCTAATGAAATGCAACCATCCACCGCTATTCACACTATAACGTCAGAATTCCCAGGAGAAGCCGAACGTTCCACAGCTCATGCCTCAGTAAAGACTATTCCTTCACAGCCCATTCGTTCCTTCAACTAGGAATTGAACACATTCCAAGTACAAAACACTGTTAACAGGTGCTGTGGATACACCAGTAACTAAAACTGACATGGCCCCTGCAGTCACAGCAACCAGTCTAGCCGGAAAAGAAAAGACAGATATGCAGTCAAGAGTCATTTAGTGAATGCTTACACCTTGAACATGCCATCAACCTCTAGGCTGGAGGTTAGAAAATCTTTCTCTGAGGCATTTACTAGCCCAAAAAGGGAACGCCAAAGCACTGTCATCGAAGGTTGCACAAGACAATGGCCCGACCAGATTAGATCACAGTAACATACATAACCCACTAACAGCTCTTGAGTGAGTGTCGCACTCTTAATATGAGCCAAGAGCCAAAAATATCTGGTCTCTGATATCATGATTATGTTGTGTTAATACTAAAAAAATGAAGATATTTTACAGATATAATTAAGTCTCTAATCAGTTGGCTTTAATCAAAAGAAAAGTATGCTGGGTGGGGCAGGCTTAATAAGCTGAGCCCTTTAATAAAGGGTTTTAGCAGAGACAGAAGTCAGAAAAATACTGGCCAGCTGGCCTTGAGGAAGCAAACATCCATGTATGCACGGCCTGGAGAAGTGGCCTACAGGAGCTGCACGCCTCAGTTCTGCCAATAATAAACAAGCTTGGAAGAAGACCCCAATCCACACATAAAAACCCCAGCTGCAGCTGACCCCTTGACTGTGGCCTTGTCAGATTCCAAGCAGAAGACCAGCTGAGTTGTGCCTGGACTCCTGACCCCTGGGGATGACTATAATAAACATATGTTGCTTTTTTTTAAAAATTTTTTTTAATATTTTATTGATTTTTTTTATTTTTTATTTAGTTATTTTTTTACAGAGAGGAAGGGAGAGAGATAGAGAGTTAGAAACATCGATGAGAGAGAAACATCGATCAGCCGCCTCCTGCACTTCTCCCACTGGAGATGTGCCTGCAACCCAGGTACATGCCCTTGACCGGAATCGAACCTGGGACCCCTCAGTCCGTAGGCCAACACTCTATCCACTGAGCCAAACCGGTTTCGGCCATATGTTGCTTTAAATCACTAAATTAGTGGTAATTTGTTATGGATTATAGAAAACTGATATAGACTTGTATACTAAAAAAGATACGATTTTATTTACAAAAATAATACCTCAATAAACCAGACTAAAAAAAAATACAATAGCAGACATGGAAATCTCTATGGCAGTTTTAGAAGATAAAGTAATCACCCAGAAAATAGGGCCAAAGAGACAGAAAATAGAAGAGCAAATAAAAGATGACAAAATGACATGACCAGTGTATGAGGATCAGCATTAAATAAAAGTAAGTTTCTGATAGGGAGAGAAGGAAATCATTAACAAAATGTTTCAGGAACAATTTCAGAACTGCAGAACATAAATTTCTAGTTTTAATGGTCACAAAGGCACTGAATAAAAGTGCCAATCAGAACAACAGAAAAAATAGATTAAAAAAAAAAAAAAGGAAGATCCTACAGGCCTTCAAACAGTAGAATTACAAAGAATCAGGAATCAGAATTGCTTTACAGTTTTAACAGTTGTGGGAGGTAGAAGACAGGGAAGAAATAACACTCTAAAGAGAAACGTTTTTAAACAGGCAAGCTATCAATTACGACTTCAGGAAAAGCCTCTACAGCCATGCATGGTCCCCAAGTTGACCTGCCATGCATGCTTGCCTATCACAGATCCATGTATTGCATTTGATGATCCTCTACCTTGCATCTTTAATCTGACATACCATGTCCCCAAAATAGTCTTTTATATTTTCCACTTACTTTTGGTCATTCATGACATTAACTAAATTCTGACCCAACTGAGTTTTCAAATGTTCCTGGTACACAAAACCCAGTGATTTCTCTCTATTCAGTGTCTACTACCACCTTTAGCAGAGGGTAGGCGCTGAAACACCTTTATCCTGCCAGACCACTCAGGTCAAGAAGGCAGAGATCATTCCGCTTTAACTCACCGCTGACTCTGAGCAGGCCACGGAGTCTGGTTTGCCATGGGCACTGAGTTCGTGGGACTCACTAGCATGGCACTATAGATGTTGGAAGCGACCACCAGTATGCAGAGAAGTATGGGCCCGATGATTGCTCCTTCCAGGCCCAGGTAGTATGCTCCGCCAGCCACAGCCAGGCCTGTCAAGTAAGGATGGCCACCTCTGGAATACAAGGCACACAGATTGGCTCAGGACTTTTAACAAACATAAACCCTGGAGTAAATCTGAAATACATTCTCTAACACAATGGTCATTCTCTAATACACCAGGCTTTTGACTATATTACCGCTCTCTTCAAATATCTCAGTGTGGATAACTGAATATTGTAATAACATTGAGATGGAAGCATTTTCTTGCCTACATATCATGTCTGACCTTTGCCTTTCATATAGGTCCAGCAACTGGAGGAGTGAAGTCAGTGCTGTTAACAGGTACCTAGCACCCATTACATGGCTAACTGAAGTGGGTTAATGTCGGCTTAGGATTGGTTGTATCAGTCACCTATTAGGTTTACCTCCATTAAGACAATTAAGTGAGCCCAATTTAGCATGTAATTAACTAATTATGCTTTTTTAAAGATGATGACAATACAATAGCATCCCTGTTACTCATAGGTTAGACTTCTGACAACCCCCAAAAGTATACTAGTAGTTTCTAGTGTAGGTAGTGCTAAAAGGCCTCATGAGGAAAAGACCTGTCAGAAAATCCAAGATTTTATTTCACAGGAGAGTCATAATTGCCCTCCAGCATATCACAGTATCACTTACATAACTGGAACAAAATAAGATAGATTACAGCAGCACAGCACAATGATAATGATAACAAGGACCACTGACATGAGGGGAACCAGGAAAAGGGTATGTTGTTTGTTTCTAGTTTTTAAACACACATGACTACAACAATTCAGTAAGGGGCAAATAACTATATACCCTGGAAGGATGTTTTATATTATATTATAGTTCAATAAGTAACATGTGAAGTAAGCCAGTCTTCAGAAAACCAATACATTATATTCACAATTTGTCTTCCTTTTTCCAAAAAAAGGATACAGGGCAGTATTCCAATGTATGCTATGTCAATAAATGATACATTTAAGTAAAGTTCTATCAAAAATGCTTACTGCTTTAAAAAAATGTCCTGAGAGCTTTTAAGAAAAAGCTTAATTTATGCAAAACCTTTCATGTCCTAATAATGCTGATTAAATAAGGTATTATTTTATTATTAAGAAAAAATTTACATATAAATTTTAAATTTTAGCTAATATAAAACATGCAGTAAAGTTTAAAGAAATGAAAGCTCTTTGATATAAACTGTATACCCATTCCTACTATTTACATATCAATTGTTAAGCACTAGTTACCACACTCTGATTTCTCTTATCTTTAATCTTCTCTCTCAAGTTTTAGGCATTAAAGCTCCTAGGAGGGTTGTATAGAGTTGCTTGTTGCTTTTTGCTCTGGACCTCTGGAGCTTCAGAGTAGTTCTACTTCATTTGTTTTCTACTTTAACTTACTAGAGAGAAAACAAAGGACATAGAATTTGTCCTTATATAATTTCAAATGAGCTGAAGGGTGTACTCTTTCTATAAACTCAGACCACATCTAACCTTATTGTGATGATGAGTTTTACTGAAAGAAAATTTACTACTAGTATGATAGCTTCGGTAGGCTGTATCCTGAATTTAAGAAGTTGATTAAAATTCAACATCCGGTGACATCCCAGATTCGAATAAACAATGTGAATCTGAATATGTAACTAAATGAGACTTGGCTTCATTTACTTAATAAATCAAGCCAGTTCTAAAATAAATATCAAAATCTACAAAATATATCTATACTAATAAGGAGCTAATATGCTAATGGTCAACATGCCGTAACAGGTAACGACCAGGTCATTAGCATTTTAGCTGGGGTGTTGCTCAGGAGACGGGGTGGAAGTGGAGAGGCACCCAGAGGAAGTGGGACCATCCTGTGCCGGGGAGGGCAGGGGTGAGAGCCCATAGCGGCCCCCTCAACAGTCCTTTGCCACCCACTGCTCACACTCTGAGTGCCCTGCAGCCCACCTGCCAGGGGAAGGAGCACAGCGCAACAGGCAGGAGGCTTCCACGCTCTCCTCCGGTGCCATGACGGGGCAGATGGAGCCGCCATGTTGCTCCGGAGATGGGGCAGAAGTGGGGAGGTGCCCAGAGAAGGCGGGACCAGAGGTGACTTGAGGGACTGAGGGCAGGGCTTGAAGCGGCCAGAGAAGGCCAGAGGGTTTGGGGGCTGGGCCAGGCATGCTGGAGCTCTGCATGGACAGGTTCGGGTGTCAAGACAGGGCTGCAGGTGGGTGGGCAGCCTTGTGCGATTTCCAATCGCGAGCTGGACTCCTAGTATATATATATTTTGATATCATGTGGCTCAAGTTTGCTTCTGTCTTAAATTTAACCTGTAACCATCAAAGAACCACACTATCTAACATCTTAAATAAGAGAGCTGTTTGTCAAATATTTAGCTTGATGAGATTTGGTTTTACATGGAAATCACCAGATATACAACTTAATAATGTCTTTTCTCCAAAAGCAAAGACTTTCTGAAAATAATCACAAACTTGTTACTTTGAATATTTTATGTACATCTAGTAACATTTCTTTCCTGTTATTCATATTTTTGTTTTAACTCAGGGTCTTATTTATTATACAGTATACTTACATGATACCAAAATACTTTGAAAACAATATTATGTTAAATTAAACTTTGATTATATAGTGGGATCACAGAAGGCTACTTCACTAAAAACTCCCACCCCTTGTCCTTTCTCCCATCTCCAAAAGAAATACAAAAACTCTCCTTTAAAAATGCCACAGAAATCCCTGGACATGATTCCTGGAAGCTCTATAGGATACTTACCCTGAAATATCAGAATAGATGGCAGTATCTACAAAGTATGTTGGCAAGAGATGAAAAACCAGCAGTAAGACGGCTTTGCATCCTAAGCCTTGTGTAAGCCACAGGTCTAGAACTGCAGGTATTGCTGCCCAGTATGTCCCCAGAAATGGCACTGCTCCAAGGATTGCTGCTAAAGCTAGTAAAAGATTAATTAAGAAATGCAACTGAACATCATCAGCAAAACAGCAGAACCTAAGCAGCTCCTCCCATTTGAAAATTTCCACCAAAACAAGTTAAATAGCAACTCACGTTTTCAGGGAATGTTATGTCCTTGTTTAACTAACTTTGCTGGTTAAATGAAGGTCTGAGATCTTAAAACTTGATCGTGAAAATCTTTCTAAAATGTGTGTCTACTTCATGACTCTATTCTTTAGCAACTAAATTTTTGTGTCTTGTGGTTATTTTGAATCAATGGTAGTTAATTAATATACACTCCTATAACGTAACTATAGAACATTGGTCAAAATTTGTACTGAGTCCAAAGCCAAATCAGTTTCAATAGCTCAGAGATGAGTCTTTACCTTGACTCTTTCTAATAAAAAAATGAAATGTAATTTAAAAATAACAAAACACCCAGCTTGTTGAGGATCTTACTCAAGCTTGTCTCCTGCCAGAACATTACATGAAAGCACTCTACAGAGAGTTGGGCTCTCCTGATTAAAGTCAAGCAGACGTGGATTCCAGTTCGGTCCTAACCATGAACCAGGCCTGTGACTTTGGAACACTTTGGTTTCTCATCTACACTACGGGACATCAGCTGCCCTGCCAACCTCAAAGGGCTGTCATGATCAACCTCCCTGCACTCAGGGTGCTTGCATGTCAGAGGATGGCTTTGTGGAAAACAACGTAGGGAAGAACCTGAATGAACTTGGGAATGTAAAGGAGGATGGGAGCACAGACCACAGTGGAAAAAACTGGTGGTAGAGGCACGTGTGGCAGGCAGATATATTAGGAAGACAAGCAGCCATGGAAATAAAGGTAGAAAAAGTGGAAGGAGAGGAGCAGAGATAACACAGAGGAAAGTAAAAGATGGTCATTAAACCATCCTGGTGTGTATGGAATGTGGGTATTACCAGAATAGACCTCAAGAGGTGTGGGGACGGTTTATGGGCCCTCAGAAGCATTCATCTTGCCCATGGGACAACCTCCTTCATGGGGCAAAGCTATTTGATCAACTCACTGCTTCCTGCCAGTCAGTTCAGTTCAAACACTTACTGAGTGCCTATTATGGGCTAGGTGTTGTGCTTAGTAATAGGACATTCATTCATTCATTCATTCAACAAACAGTACACAGTGCTTTCTAGCTACTGGGGATACAGCAATAAATTAACATGACAAATTGTATTTCTGTTCCTAATTTGGACTAGATTTGATCTCAAACTTTTAGTATTTTTAATTTGGGGAATAGAACATTTCCCAATGTGTGTAAAATGGCTTAACTTCCCTTAAATAGAGGACAGTGAAAGTTATGACATAGTCGTTACCTGATGGTATGAAGACAATATTGATGCCAAATATAGTATGAGTCAGCCAGGTGTACAATCCATAGAAGCCAGCCATTTTGAGGGAAGCATCAAACACCCCTCTAGAGGACCCAAGATAAAAGGGAAAGTAAATGAACATAGTATATTGTGATTCAGAAAAATCACTCTTTCTGGGCTTCTGGCTACTTCGTTACAAATCTGATAACAGCTTCAATTTTTCTATTGCCTGAGAATGCAGTTTTCATTTTGTTCTATCGAAACATAAAGACTTCTTTTAAAACCCAGAAATGTTTTCTAAACTATTCTTTACATTTCTTTCTGATGAAAAAAAGATAAGTGGAATAAAACACCTTTAACTACCCTAGTCACTGAGATAATTAATCAACTTTCACTTCTAAAGCAGACCTTTTACTGCCAAAATAGGTGAAAGGAAAATCAAGTGTGAATATCATATTTCTGAGGATACAGTTAAACTCTAAGACCAGCCCTCCCCTTTGGAAAGAGCAAGGGAGGGATAACAGAACTTGTACTCAGCAGCCTCCCTTCTGTTGACAAAATTTCCCACATTTCTTCAACTATTCAACCAAGCCTACAAAGTAACTTCTGCAAATGCCAACTATCAAAGAATGCATGCCATTAGGAGAGAATTTATGGGGGAAAAAAAGGAGAACAAAGAAAAAGAAAACCAAACATATTAACTCCAAAGTAAAATCAGAGACAAAAATATAAGAGGTGGGGGCAACGGAGGGATAAGGACACATATGTAATACCTTAATCAATAAAGAAAAAAGAAAAGAAAAATAAAACCTCCCTAAGTCATATTCCCTAAAAACATTATATACACATACATACATACATACATACACACATAGAGGGGTAAAAACAGATACTCATATTCGGTGATTAATAGGAATGAAATACAAAAAAACGTGCAGTCTCAGGGACTTCATTTGTGCTTTTCAAGTGGAAAATTATTAAGACAGTACCGTGTCAGGAGCAGCAAATTTTAAGTTATCACAAGGCATCGCAAAATTACAGACATCGGGACTGTGGAGGGCACAGGAGAGGCACGCTCACATGCTCATGAGAAGGAAAAGCTCTCTGCAATGGAAAAAGCAGAGGCTGTCGCAGCAAAGGTGGCACTGAACCCACAAAAGGAAACACCAAGCTTTTTCAAAGTAGCCCGAGAGGTTTCCTGTCAGAGTACAGTCAAGCTCTGGAACCTACTGATTCAGTCATTTCATAGGGTTTGGAGACACGGATTTGGGGACAAGTGGCTCCCCAAATGTGAAACCTTCTTTGGCACCCTGACCAGCAGCTTTCACTCAAGAATGTCTTAAAAGTGCCATGTGACCTCTGACAATAAGGACACAGATTAAAGTGGTATCAAAAAGACTGAAAGGAATGGAGATGGCCCACAGGAAATATAAAAAATGCAAATAGTAACCGAATAGAGGAGACAGAGGGAAAGGAAAACGGCACAGGGGGGAGGCATGGCAGTGTCTCAACGACATGGAGAAGCCCAGAATGGAGGGGACATGGAAGAAAAGGGAAGACATTTAGTTTGGGCAATGGTTAGAAAAAAAGGAAGATGAGGTAGCTGGAAATAAGAGACGAGGCCTAAGAGAAATACGCCAGACGGGATTACTCACAGAAAAGGATAAGCTACCCCAAGGGGAAAGCCTGGAGAAAATGGGCCAATGGACTGTGTTCTCAAAGGACCCACAGACAAACACTACACCAGCCAGAGATAACGCAATCACTTCTGGAGTAGGAAGAAAATCACTACAGTGTGGTATTCCCAGAGACCAAGGGAGAAAGGAGCTTTTGAAAAGAAGGGAATAATAATAGATCAAACACCACAGAGAATTAATGAGAATAATGTCTAAGAAAAAAAGTACAGAATTTGAGTAGAACTGGGGGAGTCAATGAGAAAAGATAGAGTTGTAGTGCTTTCATCAACCTTACATTATTTAAGAAATGTTAAGCCAAAAATAAGTTGACATCAAAGGTGCAACAGAATATCACAACTGAATCATCTGCCGGGGTGGCAAGGAGGCAACACTCAATCCAAAAAGGACCACTTGCAGGAAACAGAACAGCCCTCTTTCTTCTGTCTTCAAATATTGACTGTTCATAATTTTCTCACTAAAGCACTGTTTAAGTAGTTTTGTGGACCCTAAATGCATTATATATTGCTTGCAGTTACTAAACATATTTATGCAACTCAATGAGGGAGGAAAAGACAATATATTCCCCCCTATCGGGGGAATTATCGGAAGTATTACTTCTGATCTGATACACAAGCTTTATAAAACAGCAGAGAAAAATCCTCTAACCATTTACTAAGAACATTTTTAACTCCCTGAAATGCCTAGCCATTTTTCTTCTCTCTTTTTTCTGTCTCAGCTTTATTGAACTATAATTTATAAACAGTAAAACTCACCAACTTTAAGTACATAATTCAGTAAATTTTGATAAATTTATACAGTTTCATAACCACTGCTGCAATCAAGACATAAAACATTTCTATCACCCCCCCGAAAGTTCGAGGGTGCCCTTTTATAGTCAATCCCTCCCTAAACCTGGGTCTCTGAAAGCCACTGGATATGCTTTCTGTCACTACAGTTTTGCCTTCTCTATAGGAGAGTCAGGGAAGGAGACAAGAGGACAGAAGTGAATAGGAGAGAAAAAGAGATAGGAAGATGCTAACTAAAAAATTAGCAAGGGGTTGGTTCAATTATATAGGCAAATAGCAAACATTTGTATCTCAACACCAGTTCTATGGTAAGCCTATTACAATAAATTTAGCAATTTTTAAAGCAACACAATGAGAAACTAAATACAAGACAAAGTTTTTTAAGGTCATTTTCCTTGGAAACTTAAAGAAGTAAATGGTTAGGTTTATTAGACCAATCTTTAACCAAGTAGGTTAAATAGGCATTACATTTACTGATTTGGTTATTATTTAAGAACTCTAGCTAATTTAATTTCCCAATTACGCATAAGGAAGTCTGTCTCTCTATTCCAGTATTAGGAGAGATATCTCTTCAAATAAGTGAAAATACATTTTCTAACAGCTTTAAATTCTCCCTTACGCATTTCAAATACATGTTTATAACCTTAAATCATGAGAATTTCTTTCCAATGAAAATTCACTTTGCTCCAAGTAAAAAATGAAAGTGCTGATTTACTAAATGATCAACATTGATTTTTTTTTTAAAAAAAACAAATACTGTTAATCCTCCAAAATTGGGGGATAGACATGGGAAGCATGTTCACTTTCCAAATGAAAATCTCACAATACATACATCCTAACCACTGGCACTGAAAAGCTGCAATTCCACAAGCAAGAGCCATACCCGTGTGCATGCACTCATGTGAAAATATCACACACACTAAATTGCACTGAGGCCGTGGAACATGCAACTTAGTAATGTGCAATATCTCCACCAGAGCAAGCAGAATGGGAGCATCAGGGAAGAAGGGTATGATGCAAACATTCAGGACACAACATGCTCTAAGGGGAGGAAAATGGTTTGGGAATGAAGGATGCATGCCACTGACTCAAAAATCCATGAAATGAAAACCCAACCACAAATGCATTTAATTTAGACTGCTTATTCAGAATTGCGAATAACAATTAAAGTTCAAAAATTCAATGAGACGGTGATTATACAGTAACCACATATTTCGAAAGGCAAAGCCTGAAGAACAAAGACATGTTCACTGTCTGGTCATGCAATTAACTCCCAATTTCAATTCCACCTTCAAGTTATTAATGGACCACATAAAATGAGTTTAATGAGCGGCTTAACTGCAGCATTGATGATGAATAATGATTGATGCTTATGAAGTCTGTTAATCACTGATAATTTGAAGACTAAACTACACTCTCCACACACTATAATAGCATTTTCATAATCATCTGTACAATATTTTTCCTCAACATTTTTCTCCATAAAGAGCTATGTTCCATCTTGAAGACAATCCTTCAGAATGAAAAGTCCGACAGGAGCCCTTAGAACTAGAACCCACTGCCCTCATACACATGAGAAGGATCTTCAGAGGCATCGACGTAAAACCCATACATTTTTCTTTAAGTCTTGAATTTGACCCAGAAAAAAAAAATAGACCGAAAGCACTTAAGATTGCTAAAAATCATCCTAAATTACAACCTTTAATTTATATAACGTGATAGAGCTGTGGTTAGAAAAATGGCCCAGGCTGTAATAAGCTCTCTAGTCTTATACCATTATTTTCAGACTCACAAAAACCTGTCAGTTTTGAGACCATTAGGATGGTACTAAGGATTGTTAAAAAAATATTTTCTGTATTAAAAATAAGATGATAAAATGAACGGGTTTTGTCCAAGTATACTCTGGAACCAAGACATGGGCTACTATTAGAGTGCATGATTAATGTGTGCAAACTCAAGTTGATGAGGCAAATCTCATTTGTAGAAAGAAACTGATTTCTTCATATCTCTGTAGATGACTCCACTCTTCTAATCTCAAATTCCCTCCTGAGCCAAAGACCTGAATTTTCAGCCATCAGCTTCATGTGTCCATCTGAATAGTCTCAACAGAACCACAAAGTTAACTCATGAACTTCTCCCCGAACCGGCTCCTCCTGGAATACCAGAAGAATAGTGGGCTTTCATTATCCTGGAGCAAAACATAGCTCTGCTTATCAATTCCAAGCAACCATGACATTAGAGAATGGAGTTTAAAGCAAAGGGTAACTTGGTTTTCATGAGAGAGAGAGAAAAAAAAAGGTGATTCAATGACCAACATTCAGAGGATGGTCAGCAAGTGGTTCACTAAGGAAGTAGAACAAAGGAAAATTCAAAAACTGAGATTTGAAGATAGAAAAGCTTTTGTGAGAAAAAGAGTCAGTGCTAATGAAGATTACTTTAGGAAAATAAACTACCATATTTCTTGAAGTTCTCTATGGACAAGGTAGATATTTTTTGGTAAATCTTGGCTTAAGTCAACTGACTAGAGCAGCCGTGGGCAAACTACGGCCCGCGGGCCGGATCCGGCCCGTTTGAAATGAATAAAACTATTGAAAAAAAGACCGTACCCTTTTATGTAATGATGTTTACTTTGAATTTATATTAGTTCACACAAACACTCCATCCATGCTTTTGTTCCGGCCCTCCGGTCCAGTTTAAGAACCCATTGTGGCCCTCGAGTCAAAAAGTTTGCCCACCCCTGGACTAGAGGATTCTGCCACTCTTTGAGATGGTGGATTCAATAGCTTAATTCTACTGGGAAGATAGAATGTTATTTTCTTCTTTGGTAAAAAAAAAAAAAAAATTTTTTTTGGCAGATAGATGGCATTTAGATAAACTAAAGTTAATCTATTGCTGGAGTTTTCATCATTCGTTTACTCAGTAAAGATGATAACCAAGAGTCGCACAGGCTGAGGAGGCTGCTAAGGCCATGAGGTTCTTCCCGAGGAACAGCTCCACCGTGAAAGCTCCCAAACTTAGAGCCTTTACATGAATCCTTCCCCACGCCCCGGATACCCAAGGGCACCACAGTAGATAAGAACTGTTTTTGTTTTTGTTTTTATCCAAAATGAAAAAAACCCACTTGGATCTCTAATCAAGGATTCAAGATACTGGTGAAGACCTTACTCGGGCCTTGCTAAGTAGGAAAAAGGGAGAAAACCTACCGAAGTTTCCAGAGAGAAGGTATTTGAGGAGCACCCATCCTATTTAAATGAGGGGCGTTTTCTGAAGATCCAAGGGGTATCTTCACTAGCTGGTACATGAATACGTTAAAAAAAGAAGCCAAGCTCAGCCACACAGGATTATCAGTCAAATCAAGATTTCTGCAGAAGACCGGTCCCAAGCAATGGCATATTTTACAAGTATGAGAAATGCCAGCCAAAGGTTCACTGCTCAAGAGAAGCTTACAACCACCTGGCCGATAACTTACTAGAAAAAGGAGCTCTAAAGGACACCACGCGGAGTTAACATGGGCAGCTAGTCACAGAAAGTAAACGTGTCGGGGAAGGCCTGGGGCGGAGTGGGAATTGGGTGAAGGGGGCAGAAAGGGAGAAGATGAGAGCCATCTGTAATACTGTCAACAATGAAGGTTTTTTTAAAAAAAGTAAAAATGTGATAAAGTATTAATGATAAATTCAGAGCAATGAGGGACAAGGCCGAGGCTTCAAAAGGCCTCTCCCTACTGGAAACGAGAAAAAAGAAAAGGGCGGGAGGGGACAGGTGCCTGTGACCTGGAAAGAGCATGTGCAAAACAAATGCCGAAGAAGCATCTCATTCAGAAACCAAGCCTGCAATACATGGATCCCAGAAAACATGATGGAAGTTTCTGGCCAGAACCTACAATGTCCACAGAGACTATGACTTAAAGATAACCCAAAATGCTGCACTGCCAGTGCCCAAACCACCCCCTGCAGAAGGCACGGCCTGGCTGCGGAGGGAGAAGAAGACACCGGAGGCCATCGACGCCCTCCCAGAACAGAGCTGGAATTCCCGAGAACAGAAGGAGGGTTCTGAGAGAAGGTGAGGTATACGAGTGAGCAAGTAATGTGATGATCGGCACCTAGAGCAAGAGCCTTCGAAGGAAAAGCCGAGGGGGACAGGCCATGAATCTTTGTAAACCATGGGCTTGTGAGTAGGATATTGGAATTGTTTGGAATTTTTTTCTTATCAACATTTTCACTGCTTATATTATCCTCTCAAAAGGAGATACATTTTTTTTTTTAAACACCAGCAGTTCCCTCACTAGGTTAGCACTGAACGTTACCAGGAAGGCTCAAGACAGAAACCGAACGGGCTTCTCATGAAAAGAATAGTACAAATCTTATCCCTACCTGATAGCTTCTTCCACAGACTGGCCAATAATATTAGAAGAAGGGCCTGGCTGAGACAGTGGTGTCAGGCTTATCACCCACTTCACGGGCTTGTAGTACTCATCACTGGAACTTAACAGATAAAACAGTGTGGTCAGGAAAATGATCTGCAAAACAAAGGACAGTATCTCCTAAAAAATCACATGTGGAGACTACAGGAAGGAAACACCAATGGCGCCAAGAATATGCAATACTGTGGAAGGAACTGTGATGTGTTCTTATCTATATGTACATACCAGAGAGAGCACGAAATTGAGAAGGGCCGTGCCGCTGTAGAAGAGGATGGTCAGGAGCGTGGTGACAGTGGTGAAAAGCAGGCTCACGTTTCGGCTCATAACAATCCACAGAGACTCCAAGATCTGCGAGGAGGAAAAGCTGAGTATCAGAACTAATCCTCAGGAAAGAAGTTTCTCCAGGTATCTGTGTGCTTTTAATACAGTACCATAAACTGAAAGGGCAAGAACTGGAAAAAAAAAATCATCTGAAAACATTTGAATATTGATTAGGAAAGAAAATGATTATGCAAATTATGATGAATCTACTCCAAATAATATTAGGCAGCCATTAAAATCACCTCTATTATGACAATTGGAACATATTTTATGATATAATGCTAAATTTAAAAAGCAGGATAGGAAAATTTTATAGATAGCATGATTATAACTGTAAAAATGGTATATATAGGAATGATGCCGAGAGGAGAATATGTCAAGGTGCAACCTTCGCATGTAGGCTCACAAGTGCGGGTCACGAAAACCTAGCGTTTGATTTATTTGCTTCCTTCCCTCTTTCCACCTTCAACTTAACTTCATCTACAACTACCAAAGCATCTTCACTAAAATCACAATAAAAGAAATGAACAGACATGGTCGGGGCAGAGCTCTGCAGCTAAAAATCGTTCCTCTCATAAATGATGACCCTTCTATTAAGAACTACTGAGTTCAGTTGATCCATCACCTGCAACTTTCCTAGAACCAGGTATTAAAATAAAGTTTACTACTATATGTTAAATATTACTAAAGGGAGATGCATATTATCAATAGTGCACCTATATGTTTTCTATTCCCTATTTCTTCATAAACTTAATTCCTTTATGATAATGTGTATTCTGTTCTCCCTGAGTAATATAAAACATGGAAGCAAAATGACCAGAAAAACTTAAAATTTTTTAAAAACATCCTTAGTTTTCATCCCATAAACCTCACAACACTGGGAAGAAATGCAGATAAAGCCATCTTTATTTTATAGATATGCAAACTGAAGCCCAGAGTTTAAAGAAAAAAAAACTTGCCCAAGGGCAGGGAGCTAATATGTGGAACCAGAGCCGAGACCAGAACTCATAACGTCTGATTTCATTTTGGTGCCTCCCCTTTCCAAAACAGCAGCTGTTTTTTGTCATATGTTCAAGTTACACCATCTGTGCTATGAAAGGCCTACCCATTCCTTTCCTACCTCAAATGTACCATTTATTAAAGA